AAACTATATGTGAAAAAGCTTGTCTCCAGTGAGAGAAAATGAAAGTGATTTAGAGAGAGGAGAGGTGGCAGAAGGGGTGAGAGACCTGTGGGGGGGGGCTGTGAGCCCTTGGTTTCAGTTGTTTCTGAGGCTGCATCATTGCCCCTCCTGCTGTTTGGTTGTTGAAGTTGCTTTTGGATTTGGGGGGCGGGGGAGGGCAGTGCAGCAATACAACTCCTTTGATGCCTAAGCTTGTTTGAATCAGGATTTCCTCATGTGCAACCTAGATAACCCACTGCCTATTTCTTTTATCTTTGAAGTGACTCAGAGGCATCAACACAGAGTTTCAGTTTCAACAACCTCCCACCTGTTTTCAATTTAATTTCCTGTAGAAAACTCTGGCCATGAAATCTGCACTACTATAGTTTAGGACAGCTTTCGTAAAGTATATTTTGTAACCTCCTCCATTGGCGAGGGGGTGGCGAACATTCCCATGGTCAAAGGCATTTAGGAAATAAATATGACATGCAGTGTTCCTATCTTGGAGATTCATGATTTAGCGTATTAAAGAATTCCTGCAATGAATAAATGTGTTTAACTTTATTTCCAGGGTCTCCCTGATTTTTTCCCCCATATTCTTTATATTCATGTAACAGGTAATGTCCCAAACATCGGGATTCACTTTGGGGCATACTGTCCACGTGGGATTTTACTCATCTTCTTTAGAATGGCATATTAATGGGTGTCACGTGAGTCGGTCCAGGTTGTGTCTCTGAACAGAGATGTTTGACCAAGAGGAGTCCCTGTTGTGGGGCTGTGTTAGCCTGGAGGAAGGGCTGCTTTTGATAATTTGCATCAAGTTGCCCTCTGCTTGTAGTGATAGTTCAGAGGTAGAATCCTCATCTTTCATGAGAGAGACCTGGGTTCAATTCCCAGTCAACAGACCACCCAACTGTCAGTGAGGCTTGTCTTGGCTATGATGCTGAACAGGTTTCAGTGGAGCTTCCAGATTGAAAGACAGACTAGGATCTACTTCCAAAAAATTAGCAATGAAAGCTCTATGGATCACAATGGTTTGATCCTCAACAGATCATGGGGATGGCATAGGACTAGGCAGTGCTTCATTCCATTGTTCATGGGGTCTCATGAGTTAGTGTCCAACTCAGAAGCAGCTAACAAAAATAGCCCTCTACTTCTGGTAGCATAGTGGCTAAAGCACTTGACTGCTAACCAGAAGGTTGGCGGTTCAAACCCACCAGCCACTCCTTGGAAGGAAGGTTGGGCAATCCTACTTCCATAGTGATACTGCCTCGGAAACCCAAGGAGGGGTCGCTATGAGTCGGGGCCGACTCGATGGCAAACATCAACAACAACAACAACTCTCTAAGCAGGAGCCCACAGGGTTGGGTGCACCCAGATGGGGTGCCTTTTTGTGATCTATGCTTTGGCATCATATGTTCTTGTAGTGGTCAGACTGCCACCCCAGAAGTTCTTTCTGTTAGTCAGAATTATGCCCAGAAGACTCCTTAAATTTCTGAGGGAGGACGCTGTCCATGAAGAAAGGCAGGGATTTACCACAGGCTCTTGTCTGAATATAATGGGATAATGGGACTCCCAGATGTCAGGGGGCTTCAGGATCCCTGTCACAGGTATGGGGTATTTGGAATATCTCCTGTTTTATTTGGACTCTCCCCTGCCTCTGGAATGGTTTGCTGTCCTCCCACCCTCTGGTCATCATCTGCTTCCAGTTTACAGAGCACTTCTGTGGAAAAGCTCACATTTGATTCCTTCAGTTTCCTAAAGTTGATGGGTTTTATTTGCCCGATTTGCCTCCCTTTCACATGTGAGGGGACGGAGGCTTACTCATTTGTCCTAAAGTGGATCAGATCTCTTTCTCCACCCCACCACAGTGCCCTGTCATCATGCTGCTATGGCCACTCCCTCCACAACCACATTTTGATTCCTTTTCTTTCATCACCCAACTGTCTTACATAAAGGCCTAGTCTCCTTCCTCAAGGGACTAAGAGATGGGAATGCCAAGGAAGTAAGATTAAAGATTAAATAATACTCAGTTCCTCATTATAACTAGCCACATTTCAAATATTCAGTAACACAGTTCTACTCTGACACATATAAAACCAACCCAAACTCATTGACATCGAGTTGATTCTAACTCATAGTGATCCCCATTGGGTTTCCAAGGCAGTAAATCTTTACAGAAGTAGATTGCCCCATCTTCCTTCTGCAGAGTGGCTGGTGGGTTTGAACTGCCAAACTTCTGGTTAGGCAGTGCACAACCAGAGCTCCTTCTGACATGTATAGGATGACCACAAGTTGGAGCTGACCTAACAACAACTGCTTGTTTTGTTTTTAACATAATGCAATATGACTGGTATCCTTAGAAAGACAGGAGAAGAGGTACAGAGATACAGAGAGGGGAGACAGCCACATGAAGATAGAGGCAGAGATTAGAGTGATGCATATATAAGCCAAGGAACATTGGAAGCTAGGAAGAGACAAGGAAGGACTTTCCCCTAGAACTTTCAGAGAGAGCATGGCCCTGCTGACTTCCCAAATTTGGACTTCTAGCCTCCAGAACCATGAGACAATAAATTTCTGTGGTCTTAAGCCACCCTGTTTCTGGTACTTTCTTACAGCAGCCCTGTTGTTGTTATGTGCTATCGAGTCGGACCCGACTCATAGCGACCCCTCCTTAAGTTTCTGAGGCGGTATTACTACAGAAGTAGATTGCTCAACCTTCCTTCCAAGGAGTGGCTGGTGGGTTTGAACTGCCAGCCTTCTGGCTAGCAGTCAAATGCTTTAGGCACTATGCTACCAGAATTCCTATAGCAGCCCTAGGAACGAATAAAATTACCATGCAAAACATAATTAACTTCTCGTCAGGCCAGCACAGCACTTGGGTGCTGTGTCACCAGGACTCATTTTATTTCCTTATTTCTCTCCTTGTTCCAAAGGTGAGTCAATACACGTATTATGTTCTGGTATCTGCAAGGAAAGGCCCTCCTTTGGGGACCAAGATCTAGCTCCCAGGACCCAGAGTTGTCTATAGGTCACGGGGCATATAGGCTGATCATAAGAATGTTTTGGAAAGCCAGGCCCTGTCAGCCAAGTTTCAATGATTCCAGAGCCTGGCATTAATACAAACTTCCTTTATCAATCTGCATCTTAAGTTGTAGGCAGGGTGTATCTAATTTAGAAACATGGACATGATCAACAAAACGTCTTCTCAGCAAGAAGCTAATAGGGCTCGGAGTGCCCTGGAGTTTGAGTAAGCTGCCAAAAGGCATTACTATAATGCTGAGAGTAGTGGCCATTTTATTTTTTCAGTTTAAGCACGAGGAGGATTCACTATAACTATAACAGGGTCAGATTACCCAGAGAAGAAGGCAAGCCTGAGCTTGCTTGTGCTTACTTACTAATCTGCAGTGAAAAAAGTTCACATTTTTTTCCTACCAAATCAAAGTTCTGCTTCTAGATGTGGCTGGCATCTGCTTCTTTCCCAATCTCACAACATCTTCCCATAGGATCAGAGCCTCTTTTCAAATTTGTAATCCCTGACAGGGATGGAGTACCCAGTAGGCAATGTAAACATGGGCTTAGTTGTGCTTACTTACTAATCTGTAGTGAACAGATGTGGTGAGAAACATGTGGAACTATTCACTATTGATTAGTAAGTAAGCACAGGGAAGCCTGGGCTGACTTGCTTATTGGGTAATGCACTCCATAACGGAAGGTAAATGGCCATGCTTACTGAGGCTCGGAGGTAGGGCGAGTGTGGTGGTGGTAGGGAGAGAGCGTGGAGTTTACAATTAGTCACTTCAGAAGTCTGGAAAGCAAGGAAATGTGAGGGTAGGGCCTCAGAATGGGAGGGATGGGCTCTAGGATTCATGGAATGGTGGCAGCAAGTGGTGGGGGCTACATCCTGTCCCCAGAGGATCTGGGCTAGGCTGCTTGGCCTCCACTTCCTCTTCATTTCAACCTAAGTGCCCAGGGCCTCTCTAGAACCTTCTCTCACCCCTCCTCCTCCTCTGGCCCTTGCTAGGCTCCTCTTTTCAAACTACCTCCTTTCTCCCTTATGCTCTGAACAACACGGCATTGGTCTTCCTCAGGCTTCCTTTACATTCATGGTCTCCACCCTTGGGCACATCTTTGCCTTCTCCACCTGTTGAAATTCTACAAGACCCCATTCAAATAAGTCATTTGCCAGGAAGCTTTCCCTCAACCCCCCAACGCTGCCCTGCAGGTGGGGGGAGCTGGTCCCTCCACAGCCTTATGTAGAGTTTATCATTCTGAACTGCTATTTTCTGTCTCTTCCTCTAGGTTTTGAGCAAAGACTTGTTCTTTTCCATTTTAATATCGTCACTTAAGTGTAAAGTCTGAGAGAGTTTATATGCTTAATGAATAGTTTGCTGAATAAATAAACAAAGGCATGAATGCATGAAATAAGCTTTAGGGCCTGCACACGGGCTCATGCAAGCATGGCACCAGGCCCCTGAGTCCATACTCTTTGATATTCCAACACTTCACAATCCTTTCACATTCCCCCAGTGGGCAGGAGCCCGCTTTTCTCTCAGTTGGGCCTCACTAGCTGGGTTTGGGATATTCAGGATGGCTGGGAGAGGAAGAAGCTGATGCATCCTTTCCTCTTGTCCTGAAATCAAGCCACCCACCTGCCCAACCATATCTTTTCATTCAAGCCTTTCTCTATGTGTCTTCCCCAACATCACCCCTCATCCTGTCTTACTTCCCTTTTCTGTGTCTCCATCATCTGCCTCAGTTTCACCTAGTGAACTCTAGAAAACCCAGAGCATCACAGCCCATGCCAGGGACATCTTTACCATTTATACTTGCATGTCACCCATGCTACCCACCCCTTGATAGGAAAGCAGTCTTTTATAGGGCAGACAAAGACAGCCCCACCGGAGCCAAACCAGTCTTTCAGAGTTGGTCCTGCACCCGCCCCCATCGCCCAGCACCCCTGCTCCTTGTGCCCAGCTCACCTGTCTCTCCCCAGATGGGCAGGTACTCATCTTGCTGAATGTCCAGCATGATCTCCAGCCCGTTGCCTGTCCCCCCCTTGACCGTGGTAAGCAGAGGTTTGCCATCCTCGCCTGAGTTAAACATGTAACACTTCCCATATTTTGTAAACACCTGAAGGAGAGAAGAGAGAGAGAGAAGCACATGGGTGACTTAAGACTGGGCTCCAGAGATTGCTGAGTCCCCACAACATGTCACAATCAACCCACCTTGGGGACTGATGATTCCTCACCCTACTAACGGCCCAACTTACGCTAAGTGGGATTCTGGCATCAAAGAAAAGATATGGACACTCTTTGGGGTTTGATATAATGGGATCTGTACACTGCCATTGGTTGGTCCTGTCCTCTCCCAAGTGTTAAACATCAGCTGTAAACTCTGGCCCTCCAATCCGCACTTCTGGCCTGAGCTCTTCCGGGCTCCAGACCCATTATCTTACTGCTTCATAACCATATTCTCAAGGTGTCCCCCAGGACCTTGACCTTGACATTCACCATGTCCCAAAAGGAATAAATAATCTTCTTTAGCTTCTCTGTCCCATTCTACAATTCTCCACTTACCAAGGTGCTCAAACCAGAGCCCTCAAGTCACTATAGACTCTCATTGTTTAACCAGCAAGGCCTATCAGTATGGCCTCTGCCTCTATCTTGAATTTGGCCTTTACTATACTGCTGTATTCTTTCTCCACACTTATTCAATCTATATGCTGAGCAAATAATC